GCAGGGAGCCCGATGCGGGACTCGATCCAGGGACTCCAGGATCATGACCTGAGCCGAAAGCAGTCGCTTAACCAACTGAGCCACCCAGGTGCCCGGAGCAAGAGAATCTTAAGCAGGCTCCAGGCTCAGTGCTGTGCCCAAAGTGGGGCTTGATTCCAACGACCCTGAAATCAAGAGTTGGAGGCTTAACCGACTGAGCCACCCAGGCACCCCTAGTTGTTTTTCTCTTTTGATAAAAATGAATATTTTTTCTTTAGCTAGTGAGAATGATATAGACCATTGTTTTTTTTCCTAGAAATACAGAACAAAATTCATTAATTGTAAGCATTTTCTCTGTTCCCAATATAATTATTTGCCTATACTGTATATTTTACCTTCTTTTAACCATAAATTTTCTTTTCTTTCTTTTTTTTTAAGATTTTATTCATTTATTTGACAGAAAGACACAGCGAGAGAGGGAACACAAGCAGGGGATTGGGAGAGGGAGAAGTAGGCTTCCCGCTGAGCAGGGAGCCCAATGTGGGACTCCATCCCAGGATCCCTGGGATCATGACCTGAGCCCACAGCCGACGCTTAACAACTAAGCCACCCAGGTGCCCCATAACCATAAATTTTCTGATTTTACATGGTTTATATGTTTCAAATTCTTTTTAAGTAGGTGCTATGTAAGTTTTAACTTCTTTTTTTTTAAAGATTTTATTTATTTATTTGACAGAGAGAGACACAGCGAGAGAGGGAACACAAGCAGAGGGAGTGAGAGAGAGAAGCAGGCTTCCCGCTGAGCAGGGAGCCCGATGTGGGGCTCGATCCCAGGACCCCGAGATCATGACCTGAGCCGAAGGCAGATGCTTAACGATTGAGCCACCCAGGTGCCCCAGTTTTAACATTGTTTAAAAGATTTTATTTATTTGACAGAGAGAGGGAGAGAGAGAGAGAGAGAGCACAAGTAGGGGGAGGAGCAGAGGGAAGCAGACTCCCCTTAAGGAGGGAGCCAGGTGAGGGGGCTCGATTCCAGGACCCCGAGATCATGACCTGAGCCGAAGGCAGATGCTTAACGATTGAGCCACCCAGGTGCCCCAGTTTTAACATTGTTTAAAAGATTTTATTTATTTGACAGAGAGAGGGAGAGAGAGAGAGAGAGAGCACAAGTAGGGGGAGGAGCAGAGGGAAGCAGACTCCCCTTAAGGAGGGAGCCAGGTGAGGGGGCTCGATTCCAGGACCCCGAGATCATGACCCGAGCGGAAGGCAGGCACTTAACCAACTGAAACACCAAGGTGCCCCTTAACATTTTTTTACTTTTTTTTTTCTCTTAAGTAGGCTTCAAGCCCAGCATGGAGCGCAATGCCAGGCTTGAACTCAGGACCCTGAGATCAAGACTTGAGCTGGTATCGAGTTGGATGCTTAACTGACTGACCCACCCAGACACCCCGGTACTATGTAAGTTTAAAATGCATGCTGAAAATTCTAGCTCAAAGTAGTAGACAATATAAATTATATGTGAATTCAATCTAAATTTTAGAAATTCCTTTATTCAGTAATAGCAACTAACGTTTTAAAAATAGTTACAATGAATGTGCCTGGACATTGTGCTAATCAATTTACTGTAAATAGCTAGTAAAACCCTATGATATAAGTAGTTATCACCCCCACTTCACAGAGGTTCAAAGAAATGAAGACTCTTCTGCAATGACCTGAAGCACTTTTGTTAGGACCCAAGTATGGCTGACTTACAAAGCTCAGGCTTCTAACCATAATGCACCTTGCATCCCAAGTTGCACATTCTACTTTGCATGATTGATGGTTTTCTGAGATTCTTTGTGGCAGAATGCTCACTGCTGCCCCCAACGAAGCCAAACCCTGTTTTCTAACAATTGTTTTACTCTTGCACCCAGTCGCTTATCCTGTCAGTCCTCTTAGTGGAGTCCTGGCCCACCCTCTGACCCTGGTCCCCGTATAAGTCTCGTCGTATCAGATCCTCGTGCCTCAAGAGTCCCTTCCCCTCACACCCTGGCAACCACAGCAGGGCCCTGTCCCCTCATACCTTGGTCTGCCTGAAGAGCTGGTCCTTTCAGACCGTGATCTCCTACCAGGGCCCCAACTCCTCAGACAGGTGATACTAGCAGAGCGGTTCCCTCGGACTCTCGCCCCCCAGAGTCCTCAGACCCTGTTTTCCAGCACAGCTGAGATTCTTGTACCCCAGTAGACAGCAATACCCCTCAGTAAAGCTTCGCAAGCAATTCTCCTTACAAAGGTCCCATTCCAACCCCAAATTAAGGGCACCTCTCTACCTTTCCCCTTTCCAAACTTCTCCCAGAATCGTGTTTTTTTTTTATTCTCCCCTTTTTCTGCTTCTCATTCACTCTCCCCAGCTCCCCCCACCATCTGGTAGCCCGGTTTCAGTTCCTGAAGCCCCCCCAAAACTCACCCAACGTCCTCTCTTCAGGAGAGCTGCGATCCCAAACGGCTCCGCGCTTTACCTCTCACCTTGGTTCTTTATGGCCCTCTCTCCTGGGCGCTCCCCCCACTCGCCCCGCCCTGAAAGCGCCTTTCAGCCAGTCGTCGCCCGAAGCCCCGCCCCCTCCAAGCCTATTGGCCACCTCTCCTAAAAAGTCCCGCCTCTTCAGCTTCCAGTCCTCCTCCCTGCCCCGCTTCCCTTGTTTTCATTCCCCCTGTCACACGAGGCAGTGGCAAACCCAAGGTGGGAGGGGCGAAATAGAGGGAGGGAAGGGGGGGCGGAAAGAGGGCGGAAAGTGAAAGGCATAGAGCGCCTCTCTTTCCCCCGTCTGACTCGGTTCTCGACTGCTCCGAGCAGCCGTTGTATTGTGGGATCGCGGCGCCGTGCCTGAGACGCTCGGATTCACAGGGGAGCCCACTCACTAGCGCCTCCTGTTGTCCGCAAGGCTGCCCTGCCATTCCTCGGCCCCCAACTCCCTCCACTCCCCCCCCATCGCCTCCTCCTCCTCCATCCTCCAGTTCAAAATGGCGGCGGCGGCAGCAGCGGCGGCCGCGATGGCTCCTCCGGGCTGCCCGGGTTCGTGCCCCAACTTCGCCGTAGTCTGCTCCTTCTTGGAGCGCTACGGGCCGCTGCTCGACCTGCCTGAGTTGCCGTTTCCCGAGCTGGAGCGGGTGCTGCAGGCGCCGCCGCCGGACGTCGGCAGTGGAGAAGGTAAGCGAGGGGCCCGAACGCCCGGCGGGAAGCGGCCCTGGCACGCTCCTTCTCTCCGCCCTACATGGACATCCCGGGCCTCTGCGGCTCTGTCCTTCCCCTGGGGCGCAGCTCCGCCCGGCTCGGCTTCTCCGCCCAGCCCCCAGGGTCTTGGGCAGTGGGGAGGCGGGGCAGAGACCCCCTAGGGCCACTGGGCCTGGCGCCGAGAGGGGGTGGGGGCGTCGCGGGCTAGGTGTGGGCTGGGGGCGTGGAATGGTCATTGTGCTGGTCCGCGGCCCCTGGGACTGTTCCCCCGGCGGCAGGGGCCGGTCCTCCACCCCTTCTCCCCCTGGGTGGCGGGGGAAGGGGAGCGCAGGTTCCGGCCAGCTTTGCGCTTTTCTCCTCCTCCCCTCCCTTGCTCCCTCCCCTCCTCCCATCATCCTCCCCACCATCTCCGGGGAGGCTGGGCTCATCTTCTCGGGGCGCCCCTTTCTCTCCCTCCACCTGGGTGGGCGGGGGCCAGCGGACACTTCAACTCTCCCTCCCTCTAGTGGGAACTCCCCCAAGAGAGTCGCTCGCGTCTCTCTTCCCTTCCCCTCGAGGGCTGGTTTAACCCCCAAAACTCCTTCCTCAGAGTAGGGAGGTTTGCTCCTCCCCCATGGGAGGGGGTCCTCCTCCATTCTCGCTTTGGGGGTCGAAGTCGGTTCAGCTCCTCCACTTTGGAGGGTAGAGGGTTAATTTTTCCTCCCCCATAGTTTTCCTCCTCCCTCTCCCCACCTCCCCCCAAATAATAGAAAAGCATCTCCCCACTTTTCTAATCCCTTCCCCCTTCATCTTGGCAGCAGGGCTTAGGGGAAGAAGTCGCCCTCCCATTTGCAGGGTGGGGTGGGGTGGTTAGTATGTAGGCTGGAGGAGGGGCTCAGACGGAGGGGGAAACAGTTGAAGAAGGTGCTTGTTGCTCATGTTTCTCTCTCTGGTGCTGCTGGTCTATTATTGGTGTTCGCAAGTGGTGCTCCTTCCACATAAGGCCACCGCGCGCGTGCAGGGCGCATGCTCTGCCCGGCCCCATTGAAACTTCCTGCTGCTGCTGCTGCTGCTGCTGCTGGTTCTTTCGCTGGAGCATCTCAGCGCTGTGCTTGCTGCCTCCAGCCCTTACACTGAACGCGTGCACTCACCCTTATTTATTCCCGATCCATGCCTCTCCTTTCCTGGCATATTTCTTCCCTCAGAGGAGGGCTCCCCCCCCCACCCCGTGTTCTGAGCATTGCCTTTATCTGGGAACAGCCCTTGGCTGGAGAAGAGACGTTTTCCAAATAGATCTTTTTTTTTTTTTTTTTTTTTTTTTTGGGTCCGTGTTAGGTTGCTAAAGTGGACTGGGTATTGTATAAGACAGATAGCTGTTTCCTTTCTAAGAAAACAAGGTTGCTCTTCAATTCTCCGGGAAGTGAAGGAGTTTGTTAACAGAATGCATTCACATTGCTAGGAAGGGTCCAGGTGTGAAGTTTTTCAAAATATTAGCTATAGGGAAAATGTTGTGGCTACCAAAGACTCAGATTAATTTAGCAGTTACGGTACAGGCCTAGATCTCTTCTTATCAGTAGCCCAAATCTCTACCCTTAACAGACTGTGGCATATAATCAGGTAGGTTTTTAAAATTTTTATTTATTTATTTATTTATTTATTTGAGCGTGAGAGCGCACAAGGAGGAATGGTAGAGGGAGAGGGAGAAGCAGGCTCCCAGCTGAGCAGGAAGCCTGACAAGGGACTGGATCCCAGGACCTGGAATCATGACCTGAGCCAAAGGCAGACCCTTAACCGGCTGAGCCAACCAGGTGCCCCTAAAAGGGTAGTTTTTAAATGTAGTATAAAATAGGGGTGATAAGTTACATAATATAAAGACTTCCTGCAGAATTTCTTTAAAAGTTAAGCTTCCCAATATAGTTATTTTATTATCAAATTGCATTTACATTTAAGTTTTTGAGAAGTAGTCACTATGAAGTAGAATGCCTTAGTAACTTGCTTTCAGGATACTTTTGGAAGTGATAGTAGCATATGTATCTGAGAGAAATTTGGGAATTTGGGGAAAAGGATTGCTGACAAATTGTTTTTGGAATTTTGCTTGGACCAAGTTGAAAGGCAGGCATAGACCGGTGATGGCATTGTATTCTGGGTGGTGTACAAGTTTTCTTGCCTTCCATTCCTTTTAAGTATTTTGGCCACCGCATTTGGCTTGTTATAGAAGAAAAAATATTAGGGTCAGTTTATAGTTTATTGAACAATGGGCCACCAGCTAAGTGAAAAATGAGATATATTCTGTGCTGAGAGATTATACCAGTGGGCTCAGCCACTGTATTACCATTGATATAGTTGCATCTGTAATAATAGATCTTGTCATAATGTGACCTAAGAATAATCATTAATTAATGTTACATAGTTCAGGATACTTGGCAAATGAAAAGTCTGCAGGTAAAATGACATTACTGTGCAGGGAAAAGCTTTTCAGGCCTTTGATGATGGTTAACCTACTTGTAACAGTTGGATTAAACATTACTGGTCCAACTAACAAGATGTACTGAGTCTTTTTTGGAAAGGAGTTGTGTACTAGAAAGAGTTAAAAGACACTGGTTTTAGCACGGAACAGTAATATATAAGTTGCAGGGCAAATTATTTAATTTCTATAGACCTCGTCTCCTGAGTAAATAGAGATAATATCTGAGGATCAAATGAAATATTTCAAAAATCCTTTCATAAACCAAGCACTTGCAGTGTTCTTATGTTACAAATTTTATTAAAGATGTTTGTGAGCTATAAGATACACAAGTCCATTGGAATTAAAATGTTAAATTTTTAGCATGTTGTGAGACTAAGGGTATGAGCAGAGGTATAATATTGAGCTATTATGCTCTTTGGGAAAAATCTTTGTTATAATCAGTTGAGTTTTGCTGTATGTAAACTTGTATTTTTAAAAGGCAGTTCTTAGTGTTGCTTAAAGAATCCTAGTTTATAAAACTTTTGGTTTTTCCTAGTGTGATTGTCCATTAAAAGGTGTTTTTGCAAGTATATTCTTCTGAGTTACCAGTTTAAAACATTTTACCTGGTCATTTTTTGTCATACGTATGTCATTATGGCATCCTTTGGAGGAGACTGTAATTCTCTATATGGTCATTGTTTAAGCACTTTATGATCATTTCCCTAAAAATTTGCTTATAAGTTTTTATTTGACATTGTGGCTTTAGCTTAGACTGCTTATTTGGTTTAAGTGTGAATGATATAATAACTAGCATTTATTGAGCATTTATTATGTACAGACATCATCTCATTCCTCGTAACTGTTCTTTGAGGTTGGTACTATTACTCTTATTTGGCAGGCATAGAAACTAAGGTTTAAGAAGTTGATTCAGCTGCCCAGTGCCCAAGATTATATAGTTATTAGTAGAGTCTGATTTTTTTTTTTTAAGATTTATTTATTTATTTTAGAGGGGAGAAGAGTGCATGTGCTTGCTTGTGTGGGGAGGGGGGGAGAGAGAGAATCTCAAGCAAACTTCCTGGTGAGCTTAGAGACTAACTCAGGTCCCTATCCCAGGACCCTGAAATCGTGACCTGAGCCGAAATCAAGAGTCAGATGCTTAACCAGCTGAGCCACCCAGCACCCCTAGAACATGATTTCTAATCTAGGTCTGTCTGAGTCCAAAGCCACAAAATTATATAATACCTTGCTAGGGGCCATGTTTCCTACACTACACTAAGATACCCCAACGTATTGTCACCAACCTGTAGAGGCGCTGTGTGGTTGTTTAAATATTCAAGGAACATATAGCAGTATTTGACATCTCTTGGTTGCCAGGTAAACTTACTAGTTTCACATAGTTCCTGATTTGAACATTAGATTGTGCTACATTCCTTTGGATGATGTGTCTTTGTGAAGTTGGGTTTTTGGGGGTTATGACATAGCATATGCTATGACAAATGCAAATACTGCATGAAAATCAGTGAGAAATAGGAAATAAGAATAGCAGTGTCCAGTTTGATTCCAAGGTTTGAGAAGTTGTGCATTGCCTCACTGTAATATGCATTCTGTAAGTAAATGTGATTATTTAAGAATGAAGTAAAAACATTATTTTTTTTTCAGCTAAGGTAGATTAGTTTTTCAAATCTCTACTAACAACTTGATACGTGGAACTGTTAGTATTTCTTGGCCTAGTGCTGTTGTGAAAAAATTACTGAAATGCTGAGGGTGTTAGGAACTTAGAAAGCTTGGGAACTTGTGCTTTAGAGATTATCATTGGTTTTTGTTGCCGGAAAGAAAGGAGTACTATGTCCATTTTGACTTTATTTTGCAGGGAGGAAAACCAAGGTGCAGAGATTGATTTCAAGTGTATGTAGCTAACCATTGGTGCTATTGAGACCATTCTTTTCAGAGTCCACCTGTGTGCTGAAACTGTCAGGAAAAAAATTTAGATTTCTTGTTGCTAGCAGTTAGAATAGAAAAAGGGTGTGCCAGCTGAAGGTGCTTTTTTTTTTTAAGATTTATTTATTTATTTGTCAGAGAGAGAGAGAGAGAGCATGAGCAGGGGGAGGGGCAGAGGGAGAAGCAGCCTCCCCGCTGAGCAAGGAGCCTGATGTGGGACTTGATCCCAGGACTCTGGGATCCTATTGAGGATGGACTGAGCCACCCAGGCATCCCTGAAGGTGTTGTTTTGTTTGTTTGTTTGTTTGTTTGTTTTTAAGTAATCTCTACACCCAACATGGGGCGGGAACTTAAAACTCCAAGACTAAGAGTTGCATGCTCTACTGACTGAGCCAACCAAGTGCCCCTGAAGGTGTTGTTTGAGCCCCATTCCCTCATGGTCAACTTCTGCCCTCCTAATTCTGTGCTCTGTATGGACTTCTCCAGCTTCCTTCTGACTAAAAGTGGATGATTGGGAGGTATGGATGCAAGTAAAAATGGGACATTGACTTTGTGGGATTGCTAACATCCAGGGCTCCCAAGTGTCTTTGCTGTCCCTTCAGAGGACATTCTT